CTGTAATTAAAAAAAATACGTATAAATAATACTTCTGTTTTTCGCACATACATCATATTACTTTGCTATCCTAGAAAAAGTAAAATAATAACTTGAAAATTAGTTTAAACACAATTTATGAAAGACAGAAATACCACAATTTCTAAAGTGACTTTTATCACATTTTAATACAATTATCTTTTAAAATTTGAATTTTCAGAAGGAAAAGCAATTTTCAGTTTAAAATTATTAAACAAAAATTTTCCTTCAGTCTTGGTGCATTTTGCAGTAGGAGTTATACGAAATTAGTATGTTTAAAAAAATGGGAATTGTAACTATACATCAATGGTAACATTAAATAGCTCCAAAATCAAAATGCTTTTGATGAATCTTCATCTATTGTAGCTTTAAGAATATCTTTGGTCTAAAACATATAAAAACAAAGACTGCAGGATTATAAAGCAAAGTTAGCAAAGGTAAAAGTAGGAAAGTTCTAGCTTGAGTCCCTTCAAAACATTAATTTCATGTTCCTTATCACCTAGTAATTTTTGTGTCATTCAATACCTTACTTGTTTCATGACTAATATTTTCAGAGATGGAGGTCAATAAAATTATTAGTAGTATTTTAGTTTTTCAACTAAACTGATAACATATAACTTTATAAAAGTAACAAATACTTCTAAATAATAATATAAAAAATATCAATAGCTTTTAGGGAGGTTAAGGTTATTTGAGAACGATATTATCTGGATCTTCTATCTAAATCTGCAAAATGACTATTTTGATTAAGTAGATAATTCTCTTTTTGGCAGTCATAGCTACATTTTTAAAAATAGGGCTTACAATCATATTACCAAAGGTTACTGAAAAATTACTGCAGTGACATGAATACTCACAATGACCCAGTGGGACCATATGCAGTACAGGCATTTTAGCCAATTACTAGTGAAGCATCCAGCCACAAAACCCATCATATTTTTATTTATTTAATCCTAATCAAATACTATTATAGGAAGTATAAAATCAATATTGTATTTTCCATAACCTTTAAAGGTAAAATATAGATACTAACATTTAAAATTATATTTGGCAGTACAAAGATACATATGGCACTGATTTATGACTCACTGGGTAGACCAAAAACTGCGAGTTGTGTCACTGACAAAGCACAGAAGTAACTGCTTGCCTTGCTCTAGACATTAAAACGGGCAGGCTGAAATAATTTGTTGAAATTTGAGCAGGAATTTAGTTGAGACACTATGAGGTATTTCATTAGTTAATTTTTAGCAAGTATTGCCATGCTATCTTTAAAACACAGATATGGGTAAGAATATTTTAAAGAAACAGAGCCATGCATTTTTGGCAATTTTACTCTTGAAGGTAGCAAGCAGTGCAAGTATAAATTCAAATTCTAGACTGGGTCACCTCATAAATATATTTACATATATTACACACACACACACCTTTTCTTCCCACACATATAATTTATAATCACAGTGGAATTTTGTTTCCTTTTGATTTGTCTACATAATCATTTCATTTTATTGAAAAAAATCTAAATTTTCTAGAAACATTTCTTAGGAATGTCAAATATAAGCCTCATATTCCCCTGATTAAGTGCATTCAGTTTCAAGAAGTAGTCTGAGAAATAATTTTTTTTACCAAATTAAATTTGTTAATTTTATTCAGACTTTTTTGTAGAAAATTATTTGTCTGAAATGCTGAAGTATGTTAAACTGTTATAATTAGAAAGTTAAACCATGATTACTACCTCTTACACCAATTATAAAGATGAATTAGAATCATCCTTATTTTATCCTGTGCACATGAAATACTGAGAAAACTTACTTTTAAGGATTTAAATATCTGAATGTTAAATCTGATTTTATTTTACAAATAAGTACTTCTTTTAAAAATTAGAACATTTTTTGCAATAAAATATTGTTGAAAACATTTATATACTGGCAAACTGTAGTGTTTTAACATAATCTTTATGAAGAAAAATACATTAATAAACCAAGACTTTCAAAAAAGCTGTTCTTAAATTATTTTAAATTCTAATATCACTGTTGTTTTGCTCATTGTAATGATTATCTGCAGGATTACAACCCAGGAAGAGAAGAGCATATGAAAGGTTAATCATGGGAACTATCCTATAGACTATCAATAAAAAGTAATGAAATATATAATTTTATAACATCCACTGTAAAGTCACCTTAAGTTTCTATGAGATACGTGAATATGGTATTAACTTTTACTACACGGGCACACCAGTCAAAAACTATATTTACTGCATCTATAGCTTTTTTTTTTTAAACTCTAGGACTAGTTCTATCCTTCCAAAAGAACTTGCAAATGTGCGCATAGTACTTACATTATTATTGCACATTAGCTTGTCCTTTCTTTTTTTATTTTTCCCTTTAATAGTTTTTCTTTCTTTTCAATATTTAAAAATTCTGAAATAATGTCTAGTTCAGAAATGGTGTGTGGACTTTTCATGCAAGTAAACATTTTCTGAACAATCTGTATCTGTGCAAATTGAAGAATTACATCACATCATCTATCTTTATATTAAAGACATCTCTACATAGTAAGTACTACCACCGGATTTTAGTTTTAACTATTTGAAATAAACTTATATAAAATACTGTCAGCCATGATTGCTGTTGTATCAAATACTGACGTGGCCCCAGATTTTGCTGGTATGACTGACATTTGTCCACACATAACTAAATAAAGGTGTGTTATGATTTAAGAGAAGACATTAATGACTGCACATTAATATTTATAATGTGTAGCATTTCTTAACTTTAGATAGTAATAATTATGCATAAGATTACTGATCTTAGAAATTAAATTAGAAAACTAAAGGAACTATAATAAGTTATTAAATTCCAAATTTAATAAATATACTTAATAGCCTAGCCAAGGCATATGTTACCCAACTTTTATTTTTGATACAGAGACATGAAAAACCTCTTAGATTTGCACTGTCTTTTTTCCCTGAAGAATTAAAAAATATATCCATATCTATTTGCATACTTAATATTAATCTAATATGGACACAGACAGGAAAGGACCCTCTGAAAAGGGGAAGTTGAGACAAAAAATAAATTAATTCTTTTGCATAACATCTCAAGGAGAGTGGTGTTCCATTTCCATTTTATGTGTCAGGTCAGAGCCAAGAAGAAGCGAGACACCAGTGTGGAAGCCTGGAGATGGCAGGCAACTGAATACTGGGTGGGTGGGGAGAGAAAAGGAGCATGGAGAATTATGGAAGATAGGCCATTTGCTTACTTCTTAGATAGGAATACAGCATTTACCAAAGGAAAAGTCTGTGCTTAGACAGTGTTTGCATTCCCACTGAAATGATAAATAACAAATTTTAATTATATGTATGGCTTCATTTTCATTGGTAAAGTCTGTTAACACACTGACTCAAATATACTTATTCTTATTTCTGAAGAATTGAGAGAAAAAAGTACTGGATCTTAAACAGCATCCAAATTATTTGATGTAACGTTCATCGACGAAATCAGATACGCTCTTGAAAGTTACAAATCAGTTTTCCCTTCAGAGCTATGATCTCTAGTTGCTACCATCCATCCAGTCTTCTGTGGAATGCTTAGTGGCCCAGGCCCTATGCTGGGAGCCGGGGATAAAGGATATACTATACGACACTGTTCCTGCCTTTAAGGAACTTCTAGATTAGTTGTAGAAAACATAAGTGCAATGTATGGGTGCAGTCAAGTCTTGAAAGTGCTGCTCCAGAAGTATACAAAGGAGACACAGAGCCTAACCGGACGGAGAAGGGGTAAGTAGAAAACCTTTGAGAGATGATGATCATCCTTCATCTTTGTACTATCAGTGTCCTGATCATTACTATCAGACATTCTCACATTTCTGTTACCTCTGTGTTGGAGAGGTCCTGTTCAAACCTAAACCCATTTGAGTAGTGATGATCTGCTTTAATAATGGTATTATTTTTAAAGAAAATGAATCTTGACTTAAATTTTCCTTATTCCTAGACTTATAATTATTTGTTATATCAAATAAACGTAAGATTAACAATATAATTATACTAATTTTACTAGCATCAACTTTTCAAAAAAAAAAGTAATCCAGTGACGATTTCTCTATTTGCAACCACAAAACAGGACCTCTATGGGAATCCTATGAAAGTATTAAAAATACCAAATAGGTGGGTTTTAATATTGATATGTTTCTGATTAAAAATAAGCATTAAGACAAACAAATTCACTCCTTTGCCAAATAGGAACTCCAACTCATTATAGTCTTAGAAAGGAATGCGAGAGTCTGTAGGCATCATATTTCTTCAACATGGTGGCAGGAAAATCATTGAACTTTTTCATAAAGCCATACCTTACATAAATGCGAAAGAAGTTCCATTATAATTTAAGATATCTCAATTAATAGTATGGACTGTTTTACTGAGGGCTACCGTATTAGCTACTACACATATACTGCCTTACATTTATAAAGCAATTCCTATCAATAGTGGATACTTGTTACTTCATTCATTCATTCAGTCAGCTGACATCTGATCTTCCTTTTTCTGGCAACAGACCCCAGTTTTCCTTTGGGAAACACCCTCTTATTCTTAGTGCATGTGCTTCAGGTAAGGCTGACAACCTTGCAATGCCTCTAGCGGTGGCAACATAACCGAGAACTGATATATCACAATTTTCACACCCCTGGCAGTTACTGATTTGGGATTGAGCACGTGACACAGGAGGTCCAATAAAAATTAGCCTGAGAAACTGGTGAAACTGTTGGGGTAGAGGTACCTGTGTTTCTAACCTAATAGAATACAAGCCAGACATTACTAATGACTACCTTGCCACATATGGAAAGAGGAAGAACCTGACTGAAAATAAAGTTAACCTAGATAAAAGGAGACCCCAGAAATGGAGAGAGAGAAATTTCTGACAGAATTTTGGCATCTGAATCTAACCATGCCTAAAGCCAGCACAAAATTAATACAATTCCTTTTTTTTTGT